TTCACAATGTGTTCAGTGTCTTATATAGGACTATAAGTTCTTCGCTACAGTTCATGTTTACTAGAGCACTGTTATGCAGGAGAAGTCGATCAACCTCATTTCTTTGGTTTTTGGCATGTCATCTTAATGCCATGCGTTATAGGACTATATGTTCGTTTGTCATTTTTTCTGTTAGCTGAAAAATCTTTCAAGTTTACACATTCTGTTTTTCAAATCAAAATGTACATGTTATTTTCAAAATGTTGGTACTGTGTCATATAGGGCTATAAGTCCTTTGTGACATTCCTGGTTAATTGTAGAGTTGTCACGCATGAGAAACCGATACGCCTGATTTCTTTCGTTTTTGCTACTTTTCTCATTCTTTTTTTCATGGCTACATGCATTCTGTTTTTCCTTTTCGAGTTATCGTTTTTTTTTTTTTTTTTTTTTTTTTTTTTTTTCATGATTACATGCATTTCGGTTTTCCTTTTCGAGTTATCACTTTTTTTTTTTTTTTTTTTGATTTCTTATCTAACTAGAATCGATTCTTTCCAAAATCGTGTGCAATTGTGATTTCGCTTTCATCAACTCGCCCGGTTAACCACTTTTGTTTGAAAAATATTTTTGCGCTTTATTCAGGGACAATTATGATGTGTTTTCGCACTGACTCCGGACAAGTTGACTAAAAAAATTGTACTTTTTTCGGTCCAAAACGTTCTTTCGATTTTCGTTCGCTTTGTCTATACGTTTTGTTGGGTTTTCACGAGCCCGATTTTATGGGTTATCTTCTAACAGATGTGCTGCCCCAGCCAAACTCCCCATTTAACAACGTATTTTGCTTGGATCGGACAAAGCACGAGGGTCTGGACCTTGGATCGAGAAGCAAGGGCAGAGCTCCGGCTCCACCTCACGAAATGAGTAAAATAATACTAAAAGTAGCGGTGCTTCACTTGTGCTATAAAGCTCCCACTTATTCTATACCTATCAAGTCATTTCACAGAGTCGAACTATAGTCAAGCTCAACAGGGTCTTTTTTCCCCGTCGATTCTTCCAAGCCCATTCCCTTGGCTGTGGTTTCACGGGATGGTAGATAGGGACAGTGGGAATCTCGTTAATCCATTCATGCGCGTAACTAATTAGATGACGAGGCATTTGACTACCTTAAGAGATTCATAGTTACTCCCGCCATTTACCGCACTTGGTTGAATCTCTTCACTTTGACATTCACAACACTGGGCAGAAATCACATTGCGTAAACGTCCGTTGGGACCATCGCAATGCTTTGTTTTAATTAAAAAGTTGGATTCCCCTTGTCCGCACCAGTTCTGAGTCGGCAGTTTGATGTTTAGGGAGAGTCTCACGGTCCCACTTGAAAGGTGGTGACATAAGACATTCTACTTTCGTCGACACACTGGCACGCGGGCTCCGTCCTCGCCGTGAGATCAACTCGGGCAGAACACCGACAGCCAACGACATCGACGCGCAGACCCCTAGGCCCAACCCTCAAAGCCAGTCCTTTTCCCAAGGTTACGAATCCATATTGCCGACTTCCCTTACCTACATTCTTCCTTTGACCAGAGRCTGCTCACCTAGGAGACCTGATGCGGTTATGAGTACTGCCGGGCGTGAGAGGTACCCGCAACTCCAGATTTTCAAGGGTCGTAAGGGGCGCACTGGATACCACAAGACGCTCGATGCTTTGCAAAGCGCTGCGCCCTATCTCCGGTTGATTCGATTCCAGGGTGGGCGAGGAAGGAAAGAGAACCCTCCTCACGGCCCCCGCCGACATCTCTGGAGCTGCTTACGTTACCTTCCACCTCCACAACCCAGTTCGGGAATATTAACCCGACCCCCTTTCGATGTGCTACGCACAGTGCGCCCTTGATACAAGGTTTTCACATCTCTTAGAGCCGACTGACCCATGTCCAAGTGCTGTTCACATGAAACCCTTCTCCACTTCGGTCTTCAAAGTTCTCATTTGAATATTTGCTACTACCACCAAGATCTGCACCGGGACCCGCTTCACCTAGGCTCACACTCCAGGCTTTGCAGCAGGCCCCTCACCCTCCTATTCGTCGCAATGTCAGAATCGCCACGACGGCCGAGCATAGGTCGCGCGCTTAAGCGCCATCCATTTTCGGGGCTGATTGATTCGGCAGGTGAGTTGTTACACACTCCTTAGCGGATTTTGACTTCCATGACCATCGTCCTGTTGTCTGGATCAATCAACACCCTTTGTGGTGTCTGGGTTAGCGCGCAGTTTGGCACCGTAGCTCGACTTTCGGTTCATCCAGCATAGCCAGTTATGCTTACCAGCATACGGTCCCAATGCCTATGCGATACCAAGGGAGAGTCAAACTCAAAGAGACCCAGCTAAGTGAGAACCATCATGCGACAGAGGCAACGTAGTATACAGGGTAAGGTGGTGACGTGAAGTAGTCACGTCCAAAGTAGCTGAAGTCGTTGAAGTGGTCGATGACGTCGATGAAGTAGCAGTCGAGTCGATGTCGAAGCAGAGCCGCAAAACGCTGACATCCTGAAGAAGAGCAGATGATGGAGTACCTGATGGTGTGAGTCAGTGGGGAAAGATGGAGGATAAGAGTGTCAGTCATCGTAACGCAAAGGGCGACGATGAGTGCGTTGTGGACGCTCGGAGGCGACCGTCTGCGGCTGAGGAACGGCCTCAGAGGGAGCGGGCTCGTCCTTAGCAATCTCCTCTGCTGGAGGAGGAGGAAGAGGGTCAGTCGGCTGAGTAGAAGCAGATGTCTCAGCACGACGAGCACGATCATATGCACGCACCAACATCCTGGCGTGCTACAAGTGCTCGAGGGGCTCCCAAGTAGCCTTCTCATCAGGGTAGCCCTTCCAACGCACAAGGTACTCGATGCGTGGAGGGGTATCATCGGTAACTCGGCGTGATACGATGTCGGAAACAACGAACCCCTCGTGACCATCCACTATGATAGGTGGAGGGCGCTCATAAGGGCGTCCGACGAAGCGCTCGAACGGTCTGCGATAAGGACGCAGCAAGGAGACGTGGTAAACATCGTGTACACGAGCCTGCCGAAGGTAATCAGGTAGCTTCACACGGAAGCTGACCGGACTAGCGGCAGTATCAGAACCGACGGCCTGAAGGATGCGGCATGGACCGAAGAAACGACGCCTGAACTTGCGAAGCATATATGCTTCGAGCTGTAAATGGCGAGCGTCGACGAGCACATCGTCACCGACTTTGAATGGATGATCCATTCGTGATCGGTTCGCTCGTGCGGCCATGAGTCTGGGAGTCGGTTAAACTCTCGTGTGCGTTCTTCATAATTGCCGCCATGTGGGCGATCCAGTCGTCAAGCGCAGGGCAACGAGTGTCTGGGCGTAACCGCAATGGTCATAAGAAATCCGTGGGTACGCGAGGGTGGTAGCTGAGGTCGCAATAGAATGGCGACATCCCCGTGGCTGGCGAAACAGCGTGGTTGTACGCAATCTCTGAGTGGGATAAGTGTAAGTCCCACTACTGGTCATCCCTAACAAACTTTCAGAGGATATTACCGAGAGTTTTATTGGTGACCTCAGTCTGACCATCCGTCTGAGGGTGGTAAGACAATGAGAAGCGGAGCTGGGATCCGTACACCTCGTGTAGGCGGCGCCAGAATGTGCTGGTAAAGTGCGGGTCACAGTCAGAGATGATGCTCTGAGGTAATCCGTGATCTCTCACGACTCGGTCGAAGACGATGTCGGCAACCTCACGAGCGCTAATGCGATAGTGGCACGGGACAAAACATGGACGCTTCGTGAAGCGATCGACGACGACCAAGATAGCATCATGACCGCGCTCAGTGGGTGGGCGGAGGGGACCAATGAAATCCATCGAGATTGATTGCCAATGACCATGGGTAGGGGCTGAAGTAACCCATACGGAAGGTGGTTCGCATTGTTCACGTCCTAGCAGGTAGGACACTCTTGGATGTAGGCTTTGACAAAGTCCTTGGACTTCGTCCAGACGTATAGGCGGCAAACACGAGCCAACGTCTTGTGGAAACCCATATGACCGGCAGCTGCCTGGTCATGGAACTCTGCTACAGCCTGGACGCGGAGCTGTCCGGTGGAGGGAACGCAGATACGTGGTTCTAGCTGACCAGATCTGCCATGCCAGGACATGAGGCCGTTCTTCCCGAGGGAGTAGGAAAGAACGGTCTTGCCACTCCGCAGTGTCGCGTGGATGACGCGATAATCGGGGCAGTGGCGGTACTGAGTGCGATACGCGTCGATCACCGACTGATCAACAGTGGTGATAGAGATGGCAGCAAGATGGATGGGTTCCTGATTGTGATCAGGACGGCGGGACAAGGCATCGGCGACGTGGTTCGTTTCACCCTTAATGGGCCGAGTGACGAAACTGAACTCGGATAAGTCATGCCACCAGCTCGCCTGTCAAGGGGAAAGCTTAGGCTTCGTGAGGGAAGCCTGGACAACTGAGTTGTCCGTGCGCACCATGAAGGGCACCCCGTGCAGATAGTGACGCCAATGTCGGGTAGCATAAACTACTGCGAGAACCTCACGTTCATCGCCAGTGTAGTTTATCTCGGCAGGCAGTAGCTGACGGGAGTAGAAAGCGATCGGGCAATCCCTAGCACGAGCCTCAACAGTCCCATCCTCCGCGATGGTCGGGGAGTAAGTAAAAGGAGGACTGTCAGTAGAGGGAAGTGGTGGGAGGGTAGTCGTCAGTCGAGAAGCAGTATCAGCAGGAGGGGTGGGGAAGGGAGGAACATGGGGATAAGGTGAATCAGGAGGAGAGGGAAACACCTGGGAAAGTACTGCTCCTACTGCAAAATCTGACGCATCGGTGGTGACGATGAAGGGGCGGTCAAAATCAGGGAGGCGAAGAACCAGTGCACAAGTCACCGCCTGCTTGAGGGCGTGGAAGGCGTCCTCGCAGAGGGGTGTCCAAAACCACGGCGGGTTCTTTCGGAGGAGAGTGGAGGTAAGGACGTAGGAATACCTAGCGTATCCCTAGATAAAATTACTATAGTAGCTGGTGAGGCCTAGAAAGCTGCGAAGCTGCTTGGCAGATGTGGGGACGGGCCACTCTGCAATAACAGTGATCTTCGCGTCGTCCATGTGGAGACCCTGGTCAGACACATGGTGTCCTAGAAAGTCCACTTTGCGTTGGGCAAAGCGGCACTTACTGAGCTTGGCATAGAAGCCATGCTTGCGTAAGCGCTGTAGGGCATCGCAGAGGTGTCTGATATGGTCTTCTAAGGTACGACTGTAGACCAAGATGTCGTCCAGGTATACGAGAACGTATTCTTCAAGGATGTCCCTGAAGATGTCATTCATCGCCGTGAACTCGTAGTGGTCGAAGCGCGACCGAAAGGCTGTCTTCGGTTGGTCCTCTGCGGCAACGCGGATCTGGTGGTAACCGCTACGAAGATCGATCTTCGTGAAGAAGCGGTTGCCTGCCAGACGGTCAAACAGCTCATCCGCACGGGGCATGGGATAGTTGTTCTTAACCGTGTAACGGTTAAGGCCGCGGTAGTCGATGCAGAGGCGGAGAGTTCCGCCCGCTTTGCGAGCAAAAAAGACAGGTGCACCCCAAGGGGAGTTACTGGGTTTAATGAAACCCAATCGAAGGAGCTCCTCAAGCTGACGCTTTAGTTCCGTCGCCTCTGGAATCGAGAGTCGGTATGGTGCCTGATGGTGAACACGATAGTCAGGCACGAGCTGGATGGAATGCTCGACACCGCGCATCGGTGGAATCCCGCTGTATGAGAAATACGGGGGAAAGACGTCACGGTACTCTCGAATCAGGTCGTGAACGGCGGGCTCTAAGTCTGTCGTGAACCGTGGATATAGAGATGGGAGCCGCGAAGATGGAAGGAGGGTCAGTGGGATCGGGCTCCAGAGAGATGAGCACAACCTCGGGACAGAGTGGATCGTAGCGAAGAAGATCCACGACGTTCACTAAGTGGAACGTGATGTCCTCCTGTCGTATGAAGTGAGCAAACTGACGAGGGGAAGTGAACGTGATGTCGGGGTGGGATCCTAAGGGACGAGGGTCCTGGGGAGGTAGGTCGGATGGGGTGTCGCTCGTGGTTCCAATGAACGGGACGCGATGGGTCTGACCACACTTCGTTTTGAGAATGAGTGTCTCGGTCACCCATTCGGCCTCTGTGCCACGGAACCGGCGAGACCAGGGAGTGCCAAGGATAAAGTCGTACCTAGTCTCCAGCACGTCGAAGTATGCGGAGGAATGGTAGCGCCTAGGCGTCTGGGTACTATCCGATGGCTGGAGGGTGAGGGAGAAATGGAGGTCGGGGACCGTCTTATCGTAGAAGCGCTGTGTTTTGTTATCTCCGATGGTGACAGAGATAGGAGAGCGAGACCCAGAGGTAGCTAGGCGAGTTTCCTCAACCACTCGAGGGTGAACGAAATCTCCCTGCGAGCCAGAGTCCCATAAAGCGTGGTACACCCTCATAGATGTGCCTAGGCGAATAGGGATGATGGGTAGAGTGCGATCAGGGTCAGAGAGCAGAGCGAGAAGACGACGCAGGACGTTGATGTGTCTCGTGAGTCGCTCCTGACGAGCCTGCAGAATGCTCAAGTCGAGGAGAGATGACACAACGTCATTGCGAGTCGCCAACTGAGCGCTACAACGGGCTGTGCGAATGGCGCGGCGCGTCGGAAGTCTCGGGGGAGAAGCGCTGGATGTGGCGGTCTGCTGGGAGGCAGATGGTACCTCGACAGACGACGGGGCAGAGATAACTTTGTCTGTCGTGTCCTGAGGGTCCTCTGGTGGGGTAGCCAAAGGGGCGAACCGCGACTTAGTGGTCGGGAAGCCGACTACATGCGAGGCCTCAGTGGTACACTGTACCGTGGCTAGCTGGGTGGGGTTGGCTGGGCGGGGCCGAAAGGGGACTAAGATTGGCGCTGGCGAGAAATGTCAGCGTAGTACCGATCGAGGGTGATGTGGTATGGACACCGTGAGGAGGTGTGTCCATCCTGGCGGCAACGAAGGCAGCCGCGTCGGGCCTCGAGGGCGGCACGCTCCTCGGGGGATAGAGCTCCGCGAGGAGGGACAAAACCCTGCGGGAGGTCTATCTGAGGAACTATGGGTGTGCGGGCGCCAGCCTGTGCAACCCGACTGCGTGCACGACCCATGGCAGACATGGCCATCTGCAGGCGCTCGGCCATTGGGACAGTGTCGTCATCCAAGTGGTATAGGATGACATCCCGAAGCTCGATGTCCTCGGGGGCATCCCCAATGGTAGGATCGAGCTCGGCTGAGGCGTCCTCTCCATACTCGAGAGAACTGTAGTGCCGAGAGAATGGCGCTCCAGGTCGAGCCGGGTGACAAAAACGACCAGCAAACGAGGAGCGGCCTTAGGTGGTACCCCGAGACTGGGAGGTGGCGGCTGGCCGCGAAGAGGATGGGGCGACGGAGAAGCGGCTACACATCCTCTAGTACTGACGCGCAGCCTCGTATGCCTGCCCCGCGGAAGAGAATGATCGCCTCCATAGCTCTAGGCGGTAGTCAGTCGGCAGGCTGACAAGGAACCGGTCGGTGAGTGTGACCTCCGGTAGGAACGTCTCATCACAAACAAGGCGAGCGTCCTGAAACACCCGGATGTGACGCTCCAAGTCGGCCGGTACAGAGGATCTGGACCATCTGGTCTGGGTGACGTGGTCTAAAGCATCGGTGGCGTCATGACGAGCGCCGAAACGGTCCTAAAGGACGGCCGCGAAGTCGGCCAGAGTGGGGACCTCACCCACGCGGAGGAACTGGGTATAATGATCCTCCCATGTGCTGGAAGGGCTACCTCACAATTTGGTTGCGAGCACATCGCACCACAACTCCTGACGGGTGGTCGTCATAGAGAGTGTACGTGTTGCTATCTGCAACCAGCGAGAAACACGGGATGTGCCATTATACTCGGGAATGTCCGTGGTGCGCACAGGAGGATGTCCACTGTGCTGATGGTGGGGGGAGAGAGATCGAGGCGAGTGCACTGCGGCGGCGTAAGTCGAGGCCGCTGCAGGGGCGGAGGAGGGGGAAGGTTGTGGGCCGTGGCCGCCGGCTGATGGACCAGCAGACGAGGAGGCAACGACCGCGGGCAGCTGTCCCGGAATAGCCAGGTAAGAGGGAAGAGGCTGAGGAGCAGGCCGAAGGAAACGAGCCTCTATCATGGACACCGAAGGGGTGGTCGAGGAGGAAGGGTGGGCAGCCTGTGATGGGTGAGGCTATCTAAGAGCGAGAATCTCCGCCTGAGCTTGCGCTATGGTGGCCTGTAAAGTGGCCACTCGCTGGGTGCGCGGGGTCGGAGGTGGAGGGGGCGGAGCGGGTCTCCCAGTGGGAGGAGGAATCCCAGCCTGGATGGTACCCTGCTGTGGGGGCGGGGGAATGAAGGCAGGAAGAAGAGGGCAGAGTCGTATTGCCGCGACCGGTGCGGGAAGCTGGGAAGCAACACCGGGGTGGGTCGAAGAAACTGCGGGGCCAGATGGTGGCATCTGGGCCGCAGCAGCTGCGGCAGCAGTAGAGACGGTAGGGGCGACAGGGGCCGGAAGAACTACCGCAACAGACGGGGTGGTCTGAGCGGCAGCATCACTCACCACTGGTGCGGGGGAGTGTTGGGCCTGGCCCGTAGAGGAGGGGGAACCACGATGTCTCCGATTCTGGAGTCGTGGGGAGCCAGACTCGGAGCCGGTAGGGGATGGGGTATGGGAGCAGTGGAGAGAGTGATGAGGAGAGCCCTTGAGGCGGTTGACGTCAAGGGCAAGCGCATTGATTTGCGCTTACAACAGTCCAAGCGTACTAAGTTGCGCCTGGATCGCTATGAGGGTGGCATGAAGGTCCATGGTGTCCACATGGGCCTGACCAGGAGCCGCTGACTGCACGGTGACCTGGGATGTGGACTGCGCCGCGACGATCTACTCAGGTGTAGCGCTCTCCGTGGGCAGTGGGGGGAGAGAAGTAGACATGGTGGGAGGTGGGGGGAGATGGGTTGTGGTATGGGGACAGAGGACCACCGGTGAGAGGGAGGGGACCGCGAGAGCGGAGTGGGTAATCATGGGTCGGCTCGCCCCGTGACCAGCGGGTCGCGCGTGAGATGGTGGCGCGAATCCGATCGAGGGGGGAGAAGCCGTTCGGGTCCAGGGTGCCCAACGGGAGGAGGTGGGAGAGTACGGGGTTTAGGAAAACCCTAAACCCTTACAAAAACCCTAGGGAAACCCTAACCGGAGTTTAGGTGGTTAGGGGAAGGTACCGGTGACCTAATCAAGAAAAGAAAATAATAACTATGGAGGGGAGAAAACAGAATAAACAGTGATTTTTGAGATAAAGATAAAATAAAAGTATAAATAAAAATAAATAGATGAATAACATGAAAAGAGTGAGGAGAGAGAGAATATTTATTTTTTTGGAATTTTCGGCAGCATTTTCCCACTCCGCATGGGGTCAAAAATGTGCCAAGAGGAAGGAAAGTGCAAGAGGGACACACTAACTTTCAAAATGCCGCAAATTAAAATTTTCAGAAAAATAAATGAGTAAATAAATAAATGAATAAGGAGGTGGAAGAAAGTGAAGAGAAGCTAAGTTTTAGAATTTTTCAAAAATTTCGGCGGCATTTAGTTACCCCCATGGGGTTGAAGTGTGCCGTCAAGAAAAAGACTAAGTAGAAGGGAAAAATTTGGCCAGCGCTTCGCTACCCCCAAGGGGTCAAAATGTGCGCCGACATTAAAGAAAGACTAAGTCCTAGCAAGATATAGAGGTGCCGCAAAAAATTTCGAATTTTCAGAAAAAAAAAATAAAAAAAATCAAAAAATAAGAAAAGAAGTAGGGGATAAGATGATTTAAATTTTTGGAGGAAAAGAGAAATTTTACATCAAAGAGAAAGAAAAAAAAGAAAAACAGAAAAATTCAGAGTTGGGTGTGGGGGGGAATGAAAAAGTGATGAAGAAAGAGAGAAAAAAGTGAGAAGAGAAAGAAAAAGGTAAGGTGGGGGATGGGGGAGATGATGGGGTTGTAGTTCGGGGAGGGAAGGAGGAGAAGAGGGTGTTGAAATGGGAGAGAAGGATATGAAAAAGGTGGAGAGGAGTAGATGAGATTAGTGAGAAATGGTAAGTGGGGAGGAGAGGAGAGAAAAAGGTTGTGGAAGATGGGTGGAGAGGGAGGTAGGAGTAGAGGGTAATGGTACTGGGGAAAAAAGGTGATTAGATGATGGGGAAGAGAGAAAGGGGTTGGGGGGTACTAGGTTAATGGTAGAAGGGTGATATCAGGCTCTTGGTTAGCCAAGAGCAACAAGATCACCAAGATCCAATGGATCTTGGCCTTCAAGCAACCCCTTGGAAGAAGGGGTCTTCAAACTGCTACAAGCTGTCAGCACGGCAGAAAGATCTGATCAGACTGATCAGATCTTCCAAGTGGAAAGTTTGGGAGAGATCTTGATCTCCCAAACTCACATTCTCCACGTGTAGTGCAGCCCCCTAGCCAGGGGGGTCTTCAAGTGTTGCCACGTGGCACTCTTGTGGCCACGGGGAGGGAGAAAGGAGAGAGAGGGGAAGTCCGTTTTTTGCCAATAACTTTTGATCCGCTTGGCAAAATTTGGCAAAAAAGGATTTGTTGGAAATCTTTTTCGAAGGCTCTTCCAACGAGATATGGCGCGACTTCAGCCGCAGCCTGTAGAAATAGCGCTCGTCAAAAAAACCGAGCGCGCTTGGTTTTGGAGCTGACAAAAACACATTGCGATCTTTGAACGACCGTAGCTC